GGCTCGCTGCGATCGTTTCTGTCGTCGACGGCGCCGCTAGCCGTCAACTTCGATGGTCGTGACCTCGTCATGTCGGCACTGTCCCTCGTCTTTCATCTCACCCGGTGGCAGCGAGCTGACGCTTACTGGCGCTGTCCGCACTAAACCCTCTGATTTGCGAGTCAAATCAGTCAGCGCACTGCGACTAAGCCCAGCATTCAGTTTCCATCACTCACATTGTTCTGCTTTCCATTCTACAACCTGGCTTTGCCAAAATCTAGCTCTGCACATTCTCCTCAGCAGAGCATTGGCCCTTTCATTTGCTCAAGAATGCGAGTTGTGGTAGCACTTATCCCACAAAGTCGTTTTCATGGAGAATCTTGTTTTTGAAGTTGTGCCTTTTTTATGAGCTTGTAGCTATTGTATCGCCGCTTACATTCCCTTGCGTAGATCTAAAATAACTGAATTGTTGGTTTTGTTGAATGGAAAGCATCGCCCGTACACGGAACTGGCATCGTATGTGCATGGATGGAGGAACGCCAGCAGCGCGCCGTTGTCATTGATTCAACCAATCTCTTCCTTCATCTGAGCTCATAACAATAATCGCAAGCTTTGGAGCTAATCCTTCGGCCATTTTCCTATAACTCTTCTGGTACACTTTTTCTTGTCAAATCGTGCTTTGAGCGCCTTTCCACCTCTTTTGAAATAACAAACGTCTGAATAGTCCGGTATTTCAAAAGAGGTGAAAAGCTAAGATGTTTGTTTATCGTGGGGATTTGCCCTTTAAATCTCCTTTAAGGAAAAGGGCATCAGCAATCCTCTTACGTTTACTCTGGCTTGACGCCTTCGTACTGTTCGTCAGCCGAATTATCTCTAGCTTTGATCGTCAGGCCACTGATCTTCAAGTTTCTTTCTTATTAGATGACACATGCACTTCTTTGATGAGTCATCTAACGATTCATTGCACTTCTTTCGCCCGTACCAGTTATTTCGACTAGCCAAAGCGCCTTTTCGCGCCGCTAGCTCAAACCCAATATTGTTTGCTCGCCTTCAATTCTTCGCCGTTACTAGCGAACACCTATTTTCTAGGCAAAGATGTGCGATGACGACGTTGCAGCACTTGTAGTCGACAATGGCTCTGGTATGTGTAAGGCTGGATTCGCCGGAGATGATGCTCCACGGGCGGTGTTTCCTTCAATTGTTGGTCGCCCACGACATCAGGGTGTTATGGTAGGTATGGGCCAGAAAGATTCATACGTTGGAGATGAAGCACAGTCGAAGAGAGGTAATTATTCTCATGCTCAGTCGACTTAGGTTTTGAAGACACTTTTTAGGTATCCTAACGCTGAAATATCCGATTGAACATGGTATTGTCACGAACTGGGATGACATGGAAAAGATCTGGCATCATACTTTCTACAACGAATTGCGTGTTGCACCAGAAGAACACCCTGTTTTGTTGACCGAGGCTCCTCTCAACCCTAAGGCCAATAGGGAGAAAATGACGCAGGTATGTTTCTATCCTTAGAGAGTAAGTACTGCCCTAGCGCTTAGTATCTCTCTTGCCGTAGAGGTTTATTAAAACGCAACACAGTCCAATCTTGTTTTCGGGCGCTTTCAAAAATATTTGAATGTCATCGGTTTGTTTGCTTACTGTTATCAATATTTTGGCGTGGTCGGAGTTATTCATAAGTTGGTGTAGGCGGCGTCGCATGTGGTAATCACAAAGTCGCACAAATATTTCATCTCTGTAAAACTTTGAATAATATAGAAAAATTGAGATATATGTATATTTGCATCAGCAGCTGTTCGGTGAAGAACGTATTGCAAAACCAGCTTAGTTGAGCAAGTTGAAAAAAGGCTCTCAGAAACCAGCTCTGAATGTTAAACTGCTTTGATCTTTTTTTTTTCAAATTGGAATAAGTCTTTTGAGAGGGAGCCAAACTGTCTTGATTTATATGCTACTCTAACTTCGATGTTTACCGTACTTTAGAATGAACTAATATTTGCTCAGGTGTTGTGAAACTGGGGAGTTAAGTCGATGGCAAGATCTTCGTTCAAATATCAAGGATTCTCCTTTTTGATTATATCTTGAAATTCATCAAAGTTATTAAGAGTATAGTTCATGTTTCCCTCTAATATGATAACGAACATCCATTGCGGCCCATTTACATCAGAAACATATTTTTAGAAAAGATTCTAAAAAGTGATTTATAATAATGACAGAACACATGATATTCTATGATCGCTTCGTAACATAGAGTTCTCGATCTGTCACAAAGCAATCAATGCGTCTACCGATGATCCGATTATATCTATGTAGGCCACATACGGCAAACGAAACCGAGGGGAGGCTATCGTTACATCTCGTTCAATTCTTCATATCCTGCAAACACTTTCCAACTGTAGATTGAAAAAGGATCTCGTTCGAACGTGCAAGTGTGCTTGTTGGAGTCAAGGCTACTAGTTTTTTTTCATTCACCCGTCAAAAGTACGGTTAGAAAAACTGGATTAGTGGGAAACTGGTCCTATTGATTCCAAAGAGAAATATATACTCTGGAAACGGCATTCGTTTTTGCTTTTAACTTAGCGCGGCTACTTGAATTAATTTTTGGTATGCATTTGAACTATACAATTATTGCGTTACTGAGTTTTTGAGGTACAGCACGAAGTATTCACCAAGTCGCCCAACTCTTGCACATAGGCTGTACAATAAAAAACTTTGAGACAGTTTACAAGAAAAACATGAAAAGGATGCACAGTTTTGGCCTCACTTGGAATACCAACCAGATTGCGAACTAGGGCTACATAGTCCTTTAATATCTTGGTGGTGGTTTTGAGGCAGAAATTCGATTCCGTCAGCGTAACATGTAAGATTATACAATTAATTCCGATAATAGTCAATAAGAGCGTATTTGATGACCTCATTATCATTGACTGTCACAGTCAAGCAATCCCTTTAATGCGTGCACTTTTTGTTTACGTCAAGCCATTCTAAGCGGCAGATGGTGCGGAATACCACCATCGAGTTGTTTAGAGTAAAGAGAGAAGGACTTGGATCTGCAATAGAACTGTCCGTCGTTCAATTCCTGGTGTATAAAGTAAATAACGATACTAATGTGGCTTAGCGGTGCGTTTTTATGCATTGAACTTCAAATAATCAATAATGTTAACAAGTTGTCAGGTTATTAAAGATGCTTGCAAAACATAGATGATAGTGGAATAACGAGGAAAGCTTTGAGAATAGTTTCACTTGATTAATACTGAAAATATCTTTTTCTACTTGGATTTATGCATTGATTTTGGGGACTTTCAGAGGTTTTTTTAAATGGCTTACCCATATGTTTTCTATTTTCAGATTATGTTTGAGACGTTCAATACACCAGCTATGTACGTAGCTATCCAAGCAGTACTGTCGTTGTACGCATCTGGACGTACCACTGGTATTGTATTGGATACTGGCGATGGCGTCACTCACACTGTACCAATCTATGAGGTATTTTTACATGTCGCGTACTAGCTAACATTTAGAGCTGTTTACACAATTGAGCTAGCAATCAACATAATTACTTAACTGATGTATTGAAGGGATATGCTTTACCGCACGCTATTCTTCGTTTGGATTTGGCTGGCCGTGACCTCACCGATTACATGATGAAAATTCTCACAGAGAGGGGATATTCTTTTACGACCACAGCCGAAAGAGAAATCGTTAGAGATATCAAGGTGTGCCTTTGCTATTTTTTACTACAGATTTAATGTTGGTTCAGTGTTCTTTGGCTTCAGGAAAAACTTTGCTACGTGGCTTTGGACTTCGAGCAGGAAATGGCCACTGCTGCCTCGTCTTCATCGCTTGAGAAGAGCTATGAACTTCCCGATGGACAGGTATGAGGATGACTCGAGGTTTTGAAATTGGCTCACTTGCTTCTTTAGGTTATCACGATTGGTAATGAACGATTCCGCTGCCCGGAAGCATTGTTCCAACCGTCTTTCTTGGGAATGGAGTCTACTGGAATTCATGAGACCACATACAACTCCATCATGAAGTGCGATGTTGACATTCGAAAGGTTGGTTATGGCTCTTTTTTTT